GCGCTGTCTTATCACAGGTGCAAGGCACGGTTGAAAAGGTCATTGCCTACGCTGGACGCACATTGTCTCAAGCAGAGCGCAATTATGGAATTACGGAGCGCGAATGTCTGGCGTTAGTATTTGGAGTGAAACACTTTGATTGCTATTTACGCCATTCAAAATTTGAAGCAATTGTTGACCACTCTGCTTTAAAGTGGTTATTTAGCCTCAAACAACCGCGTGGTAGACTGGCCAGATGGATTGCTTTGTTACCATCCTACACCATGGAAATTACATACAGGTCAGGTAAACTGCATAGTAATGCAGACGCTCTCAGCAGAAGAGTTTACAGTGTTAAAGAAAATGGTGTCGACAAAGGTACGGAATCTACACAAGCGGTCAAGGTTTCTGTCCTCAAAGACAATGACAAGAAAGGTAAACAAGCTAAAAGCTGTGAAACCCTCAACCAAACTTTGACTACTTCTATCTCATTACAAGAGATTTCTAAACATCAGAAATCTGACCCAAAAATACGGCCAATTTATAATTACATTGGTCATGGCAAAATACCTAAAGGTAAAGAACGGGAAATTCTTCCTAAGCAAAATCAGTACTTTGTTTACAAAGATGTGCTTTACCACGTTTATACACAGAAAAAGGTCGAGGCCTTAGCTGACCTCCCTGTCCAGTTGGTAATACCACGTCCCCTTGTTCCTCTTATTTTGAAGGAAACACACGATTCACATCTGTCTGGGGGACACATGGGAATTGCACGAACAATAGCGAAAACCAAGGTCAAATATTTCTGGGAGGGCATGTACAGAGATATTGTAAATTGGGTCAATTCATGCGAAATATGTTCTCAGCGAAAGCGGCCTCAGAGTCAAGTGCGAGCGCACTTAACACCTATGCCAATCAGTGAGCCATTTGAGCGAATTAGTACAGATATCTTGGGACCTCTGTCTGTTTGCAAGGGCAGTCATAACAAATATGTTCTTGTGTTTATTGACAATTTCACAAAGTTTTTAGAATTGATACCAATTTCGGATATCAAGGCGACCACTGTGGCTCGCGAGTTTGTCAATAGAATTATTTGCAGACATGGGGTACCAAGATTTCTACATTCAGATCGGGGTACTCAATATTTATCAAATATTGTGAAAGAAACTTGCAAAATCCTCGGTGTTAAAAAGACACAGACAACTTCTCTTCATCCACAATGTAACGGACAATCAGAAAGGATGATGTCTGTTATTTTGAAAACTTTGTCCACATATTTAGGTGATGAGAAACACAATGAATGGGACCAATTAATACCGCTTGTACAGCATGTGTACAACACGCACATGACCCCCTTCTTCCTAGCACACGGAAGACACCCTAAATCCTTCCTGGATTTAGATCTTGATATGCCGACAGACGTACAATCTTCGGCAATGGAATACATTGGTCCATTATTAGAGAGACTCAAGAAGGCAAAAGAATTTGCGAAAGAAAAACTTGATGAAAGAAAAAAGCAAATGGTCAAAGCATCTAATGAAAAAGCTAATCACCCACAATTCAGTGTAGGGGATACAGTTTACTTGTACAAACCTGTAGTAACCCCAGGGAATTGCGCCAAATTCTTAAGACCATGGGTGGGTCCCTATCTTATATCCGAGAAAATTTCTCAGATTCATGTAAAATTGCGTAGGCTTTCAGATGGAAAGGCAATTAAGAACAGAATTCACATTAATAGGTTAAAGAGGGGGACTTTGCGATTTGATGAACTAAACGAAGCTCCTCCTGACAATGTTGATGCTATTGAACCTGCCATTTTAGGGGATGATGAAATCCCAGATCAGAATGATCAAACTGACAATGTGACTCAAAATGAACAAGATGAAAATCAGATTTATGAAATTGAGAAAATTATCAAGAAAAGAAATGTGAATGGAAAAGAACAATATAGAGTGAAATGGTTGTCATTTGATAGCAAGTACAATTCATGGGTAGATTTTGACGATTTAACGCCAGATTGTCAAAACTTTGTCAAGAAAACAAAAATTCCTTTGTTTAAAAGGCGGCGTTAATTCATTATAGCATGGTAGCATAGTGTATTCCTAGCTTGTAGTATCTGTACTTTTTCAAATATAGACATATTTTTTTCATTTTACTTAAGAAGACTACATTTTATTTTTCACAGTGCATATTTAAAACCACGAAGGATTTTCATATTTTCTTGTTTTCAAGTAATTACATGAATTCAGTTTTATAAGTTTGCACATAAATGTGGAATGAATAATGTTTGTTTTCACACATTATATTTCTTAATTGTATCCATATGTTTTAACTATTTTTGAAAATTAGACTGATGTACCGAGTAGATTTGTCAGTTAATTGTAAAACAACGGGTCATGATTCACTTTTCTTCTGTTTAAGAAATACATGTTAATTCCCAGTTTTATAACTAATAACAATTTCTAAGTCGGACTACATATTTTAATGTTTTCACCTTTGTTATTTTATAATTACATGTTGATGTGTCACTTGTATAGATACAGTTGTAAAATGATAGGGGAATGACATTGTTTTATATTTTATTTTACTTACGCAAATCTTTAATGCTGGCCGTTATAATGATTTGTTTATGTGAATTAATTTCAATGTTACTGAATTATGGTACCCTTCGGTTTCATTGTGTATAAAACGATGTTGTTCTTGTTTTATTTTAAACAATTGTTTCTTTCACCATTGTAACAATTTACTTAGTACAGAAAATGTAGTGGAAACATTTTTAATTGAGCCGAGGGTAATGTCAAGGAGTGAATTTATGTATTTTACTTTTACTTTGATGTTTCAGCATCTGTATTATATTTATCAATTTGACATCCCCCCCCCCCCCTCGTGTCCCACGGTATCAATGGCAGTATTGTAAGTTCTATATTCAGCGTAGGGATAAAAGATTGAGCATTTCCTGTCTTGAGAATTCGGCCTAAATTAATGTCAACCATCTTTCTTTTGATGTTACAATTTCAATTTTATTCCATTTCATTGGCTATCTTTAGAAATGTGGGAGGAGTTTGGGGGAAAGAGATGAGATTTGTGTGTATGTTAGTTTAGAGTCTGAATTTAGAGTTTTAGCGAGTTGTATGTAACTTTTTGGAATTCATGAATAAATATCCATAAACATGTAGTGACGAGTACTTTCTTGGAAGTTATAATCGCATCGTCACAGAAATAAAACTAAAGTAATTGATATGTATGTAATTACATTCTTCAAAGTGATTTAGGTGATTTATTACATTTGTTAAATTCAATGGAATTGTAATTGTAAGTAATTGACAAAATTATCAGTGTATTTAAAAGTATTTAATTACCGCAGTTTCACTTTTTCGCGATTCGATAAAGCTTTTCCGCGACAAGTTTTACCGCTTTTCCACGATTATTTTAGCTTTCCGCGACTTCTTCCGTAAGCCAGGTTGCCCCCCCCCCCCCCCCCGCTGACTCCCGGGAGGTGGAAGTAGGATTTTAAGAAGTAGGATTACATTACTGAGGTGGTTGTGAGTATTTTTCGTTTTCACCACGGCAATTCCTTTAGCATCAGTTGTAATCGTGACTTTGCAGATTTTTCAACGCTATATCGGTATGACACATCCCCATTCTTTAAAACATTTACTTTTTTTGTATGTAAATCCATTTGTTCCCCTGATTTGTTTCTTCTGTTTCTGTATGAACAATTTCCATAGTTTAAAACATCTAAAACCTATCACCGACGAGTGTGAAATGTGAGATTCATTCATTTTTTATCACCATGTGAGTAAGGACTCACTACCGAGTAGAACACTTTGGGGACTGAAATACAGGTAAATGCAGGTAAATATTGGCAACCGTTTGATATTAATTGCTAAGCGGGACCATTTAAAAATCGCGGAATGGAAGTATAAAAAAAGGATATAACACATGACATATAAGAAAACCACTCGTGGAAAAGCAGTATAGAGCTGTCGCGGAAAAACAACAAGCTTCCGAAAATAAAATCGTGGAAAAGCAGGTCAGCCTTAATTACATTTTCAAGTAATTGACCCCAACCCTGTTACTATCAATGTCATTTTTCAAGGGAAACATTCATATATGGAACAGATATTTTAAATGAGATACATTGTTTATCGAACCAACGTGGGAATGAAACTGAAAATTCTTAATTGATAAAAGGTCGTCGATATATCTTATATCTTATCAATCCGAAGTTGATTTTAAAAAGATGCTTGAGTTTCTCATTGACAATATCTTCATAGTTTTCAAAGACCAGGCTCCAAGACCATAAACTGAGAACAGACTTGAGTCAAAATTTCAAACCTATATAACTTCTGAAATAATTTTGATAATGAATTGATATGTTATATAAAATTGCAGAATTTTAAGCAAATAGATTAGATAAAACTCAAGATATTAAAAATCAAAATTTTGACTTAAGTCTATTCTCAGTTTATGGTCTTGGGGCCAGGCCTTCCAACAATTTGTTGGAAATTCCGTGGGTTCTTATTGTGCCCCGTTATTACACTGTAGCAGATCTGGTTTTGTTTCATATGAAGTAGAGTCTATTTAAAAACTTCTACATGAAAGGAAGGCATCTTTTGCTGTGGCCTTCAATTCGACATTAAGATATATCGACGACCTTTTATCAATTAAGAATTTTCAGTTTCATATATTATCCACATATTATTTAACACCACTTCTCGAGTATGTTGTTGTAGAGTACCCCTAAAGTTTCCTCTTCTCTTACTTTAAATTATCAACCCTTTGAATGTCAAAATAGTCAGGGGACTTTGAGACTCTTTAAAGACTTACTTTGCTTTTAAGGAAAGAAAAAAGAAAGGGAAATTGCAAATAATAAGCATGCACATATATGACGGCGATGTATGAATTTGCATTTGATTTATTTAAGAAAAAATATATTATAAAATGATATATGAGTACAATTACAAGAATGTTCGTTAAAATATCCCATGGAACTATGTAAGAGTACTTCCAAGAACTGATCAGTACATATATTTCATCATTCGTAAATAATCGTCATGCATTTCAGAAACATATAGATTGTCCTCTCTGTCAATAGTCACACTCCAAGGATTTTTTATCCCATCATACAACAAATATCTCAGAAAGTTACCATCTTTGTCAATCACATGTATTGTATTAGAAACTATAATAATATGGAGATAGGAATCGCAACAGAGATCCACTGGATGATTGTAAGCTTTAGGCGTTGGGGTGTAAGTGAAGCGATATTTTCCATACTTATCAACCACAGTAACCACATGATAAGATTCATGGTTGTTAGCATACCCAGACACACAAATATCTTCGTTTCCATTTATTGAAATATTTTCAAGTCTTCCATAAATCTGCTCTCCCTGGTCGTTATATTCAATTTCTAAAAGCCGTTTTCCTCCAGTTGAATACTTTTCAACTTTGGAAAAGTTGCAGACAAATATGGTATCAGGTTGCACAAATTTAATGCCCTTTAAGTTTCCTTCAATTGGTAAAAATAACTTATCTCCTTGAGAGTTGACTTTTCGTATTCCTCCAGTTCCTGTGTACAACACACCGTCTTCATTTGGAGTCAGGTACATGGCCAAACTACTAGGAGTAAGCGTATTTACTAAAGTCCCATTCGTATAAAAACGTTTAATATCAAACGATACGTGCGAACTAACACAGATCTGGCCGTCTCCGGCATATCTAGTGCAAAGCATGGCATGGTATCCACATGGTATCGTCCCAGTTATCTGGGGATCGTGAAGAGATTTAGTTGTCATCCCAAATCGTTTGTGATAATACACAATATTATGGTCTGGTGCGTTAGTTTCCAGATGAGGAGACACACATTTGACACAAAGTCTTATTTTGCACGGTCCACAGTAGAATTGTACGTTGTCTTCACACCGCTGACACGTAACAAAATGTTGTCCGCGAGGATCAGGAGCCTCCGCCATCTTAGCGGCATGTAAACCATGTGAAAATATCGTGCAATCGACCTACATTATATCCCCACGATTTAAATCATTGAAGAGAACTCCGATAACACCCTAAAACAATTACAATGGACATTTTATGTGAACATTTAAAACTTACAATACATATACATTCCCAGTCAGTATAGACGTTGGATAAATGTAATCAGATATTGGAATAGAGTTTTATCCTTTAGCAATGATCGAATTACAAGAATTGTTTTTGAAGTTGATTACAATAAGTGTAGGAATAACTGGTGCAGTGATTTGAAAGAAATATTACACCAACTAGAGCTGGATTATTATTTTGAGTCAAAGCTTATGGTAAATATAAATATGGTTCAATCAAAAATACACAATTATTATTCAAACCTTTGGAGCAATGAGATTTTAAGCATTTCTAAATTGCGGACTTACGTTTATTTTAAAACAACTTTTGGAAGGGAAAATTATGTAGTACTTGATATGCCTAAATATTTACGTTCAATTTTAGCACAATTTAGATGTGGCATTTTACCACTACGAATAGAAACCGGTAGATATCATGGGGAACCTGTTAAGGATCGAATTTGCACCTTTTGCTCTAAAAATAATGTAGAAGACGAAATTCATTTTTTATTGCATTGTCCTATGTACTCTGAATATCGTTCAAAACTTTTTGAAAACACTGGTCTTAATCAAATGGCATGGTCAGATATGGATTTACTAAGTATACTTGTTTCAAATTATCCTCGACAGGTTGCAAAATATTTATATTTTTCATTTATGCGGAGACAGTCCGTTATCTTCAGAAAATAAGAATGTATTTCAGTGTCATATTTATCTACTAATAACAGACACTACCAATCTTAGCATACAAAATACATATATGTATATATATCAAAATTATGTTTATTTACTTTTTTGTTTATCCCTTAACGTTGTGCTCTTTATTTTCTTTATATATTGTATTTCAATTTTGTGTTTAAAGTGGCATATAGGCCCGATGGGCCGGGTGTTAATTGTTATTTTATACAGTTTGTAAACAAAGGATTTAATTATGTACACATGTCACTATAAATAAATAAATTACTTACTTACTTTACTTACTTATACACTGTAAAAAATTTGTTGAAGCACTTTGTTTTAACTCCCAAACATGTAAAATTTCTAAACATGTTGAAAAAAGGTGTTCAGAATTCTAACACTTGTGTGCTTAGAAATTAAACTTAGTACATGTTTCATACCTCGAACAATAGTTTTTGCTACTACCAAATCACCTGGTACACTCCAAGCCCAAGCTTCATGGTTGAATGACTATGCCATTTTGTGTGCATAATTATTTAAACCTATCATTATCAATGATAGCTTATAATCATTGACACAGCGCAAGGTCATATAAACAGGATTTAAGTTGTAATTTTCACGATTTTTGTTGTTTTTAATCACCTGTCATTAATAATCTAATAGTCAAAATTAAAATCGAAATTTAAGCTTGGTTATAGTAGAGAAATACTGACATCTTACGAACGAACGTAACTCGCCCTAACTTCCCGTATCTCGGTAGTTTTCCAGGGACCAGTTATTGCACCTAGTTTAAAATTAATAAATCTGAAAAATTAAGTATATGTATATAATAGAACGGACAGTATTTTAATCACTTTGTAAATGATAATTTCACCTGTCTAATTTTCTGTAATCACTTACAATGTAATTAAAAGCGGACAAATAGAAGAAAATACGCTATACCTATGACGGGTTAGGAAACACATTTGTCATGCGTCAGTGGTTATACGTATATACTAGTGTGCGCTGTATTCATTTGGGGAAAGTTACGTTTTATAGCATGGATTAAATCTAAACTCATTCCTTGTATAAATTTATGCAAAGGCAACAAGTTACTAGGTGATGCGCTTATATAGTGTCTTGTATTTAAAAGTGTTTGTATAAAAGAGAGAGAGAGAGTGCGCACAATGGACAATAATGTTGTAATGAATAATACAATGTAGCATTGTTTTCTAACGTTTCAGAAATCAACCATTAAAAATCAGAAAATAGTTGGCACTTCTCCGGAAAACGTAATATTTTTAAAGTGGTCGCGCGTAGATGTTTGTGTACTTGGGGAGGGAGAGAGTGTCGAAGCTCAACTAATCGAATTAAATGTCCATTTCCATTACATTTAAGTAAATACATGGAATACTACGATCCATATACTACAATCCTTATAAAAGTAGAATGGGACAATGCCTGCATATGCAATATTTTTTTTCCATATCGTATCTATTAAAAGAAAAAATAACTTCATAAAGAAAGAAGGGTAGGCTTTTCTTTATGTGAAATATCACTTCAAAGAAATAAACGAGCATTCATATGATAGACAGTATCTTCTTGGATGATGTAATCTTCACTTAATTTGTCTTTCGGCTGCCTTTCATGATATATGTTATATCTGTACAGATATGTGGATTATGAAAGCTGCAAAATATGCATTATTTGTTTAAGGTCACAGACGTAGCATCGTGTTTTTAAAAAGAGGGGGGGGGGGGGGCAGCCAGAGAAAAAAAAATCAACTTTCCTGAAAAATCCTGACAACCAAAAAAAAAAAAACCAAAAAAAACATACACTACTACATTAGCCTTATTTAACTGTACTGCAAAAGGGGGGGGGGGAACGAGCCTTTCAGTGAACATTTCCAACAGTACAAAGTAATGTGTGGAAAAGGCGGGGGCAGGCCCTTCTGATGCTACATGTCTGAGGGTGGTGTATTTTTATTAAATTTTCTTTGTACTCAATGTTCCATTATGTCATTGTTTGTTAAGCATGTATTATTCGTCAGAATATAAAATTACAAGATACACTGTATACGTGAAGGGTAACTTTTGACCCCGCACTCAGAGTAATTTCGACCGAAGCTCTAATGTACAGAAAAAAAACTATAGTCGAAATTATAACTTGCGTCATCTCTAAGAAAAAAAAATCATAGATTGATTCAAGTATACTGACAAAAAGATACTGTAGTTCTCAAAATGTGAATAATTTAAATAACATCAAATGCATGACGCTGATTCACTGAGTTTCAATGAGTTGTCAATGCATGCTTCAAATGTACCTGCGCACACGGGGAAATCAACAAAACAGACGAGTTTTCACTGATGTGTAGAAGTAGTTTTTACTGATATTTTTTTTTCATTTTTTAATACAGTCATGACTTCTTTCTGGTAAAAGTAATATTGCTGCAGATTTATTTATTATTCATTAGTCGAATTATAAACATATAATTTTCGTTTTTAAAAGTGGGAGAGATTGGGGGAGCCAGAGAAAAAAATTAACTTACAAGAAAAAATCTGACAAGCAAAAAAAAAAAAAACAACAACAACAACAACAACAACAACAAAACAAAAAAGGGGATGGGGGGTTAAACTCGAAAATCCTTTTTCATGGGGGGGGGGGGGTTGAAATTTTTCTCGGAACAAAATATTCTTAATACATTATCATTAAAAAAAAATTTAAAAAATTGGGTCGGTAAATATGTAATAAACTGATGGAGAAAGAAAATTCAGGAGAAAAAAATTATCATTTTTAGCCAGTCGTTGATGGCAAAGACACAATTTTTTAAGGATGGTCTAACCTAATTTGGCTGATACCACGTGTCTGGAAATTACTCACCAAAGCAGCATTCATGTGGACAGGGGTAACTAATTTCTGTTTAGCTGATTTGAATTGCATTTTAATTTGTAAAAAAAACTGAATGTTTTGAATGAAATGTGCATGAGTTTCAGTTGCAAAAACATTCTCATATATGTTACATCAAGAATGGCTATTGATAAATTTTCTACAAAGATATTGTCAGAGGTGATAATTCCTTGTAATGGCTAAGAAAACTATTAAAATAAAATTAAACTCGGCTTCAATATACATTTACATGTATTATAGCCATATCATGAATCCATGGGAAAAAAGCCCGTTCGTAATATTTCGGTTGATAAGGCTTCTTCTTAGATACATACGATCCTTCGACGTAATTTTGCTCCAGTCTTTGCCCCCCCCCCCCCTTTTTCAGCTCCTTGATTTTTTTTTAAATGAAATATTTCGAATTTCCAACGTTTTGGCATGAGCATTACTTAAGAGATCTAATTAATTTGTTTAAATGCGCATCTGGTGCATCAAAATTGGCACCGTATATGATTTACATGTACAAAGTTTAGCCAGTAGCATGAACAAAAAGGCCATTGTTTTATCTTTAATTCTCCCTCGCCCTCTTTTTTTCGTAAGACAGAATCTTTGACTTCATGCTTCAAAATGAGAAATTTTCCTTTTACGTGTGTATTTCCCTTTTCGAACCTCTTTGCTTTAAATGTCCATTGAAATGTATTGTAGCGTCACGGTAGCGACTCGACAAGAAGTGATTTTGAGGTATCCTGCGGGGATTTTATCTTTTGAAATCGCAATAACATTGAAGAATTCAATAATGCAAATGTGATTACAATGAACGATCCCCTTTTTTGGTTACGTTCGTTCGTAAGATGTCGGTATTTCTCTACTGATTGATAAGATTTACGTTGTGTCACGGATAATTGAGCCAAAATTATATCCCAGTGCAAAATAGTTTTCCCACCATCTTGTCTTCGATTCCAAGAGGACACAGCAAGAAGTCAAAATATGATTTGTTACAAATTTCAGATATACAGGTAGAGTCCAATATTGCTAAAGTAGTGTTTAAACTTTCCTGTTACTGTTATAAGTTGAAACAATCCACAAATACACAGATGTATTGTTGGTCAAATTTTCTATGGAATTATGTGCTTTTCTGAAACAATATGACCATTTTACGTCCAAAAAACAAATCTTTGCTAATGTTCACAAAACTCCTAAGCTCCTGACTTAAATCAATTAAAAATGATATGACTATCTTCATAGAAAGATTTTGAATATACAGAAATGAAACTAATTATGTTTTAAAATTATTCACTGTGGACCGTCACCTGACCTGTTGCAGACGGGTA